GGGGAGTTGGGGGATGGGAACAGTGCTGGGGAATTGGGGGAAGGGGAACAGACAAGTTGCTGTCGTTTTGTTCTTCAGTCTAGTTGGGAGGACGTTGCTTCACTGGCCCAAGTTGGCACCATCATTGCACTCTTCCCTGGCGAGGCAGATCAGTCGCCGGCTTCTGGATGGCCTCTCACGCCGGCTGCTGGCTACTCACGGCAGCCCAGCTCCAGGTCGAGCTGTTGTTCAGCATCTTAGCTGTGGAGGGCAGTGTCACTGGCCCTCATATGTGGGATCTGAACCGGAGCCCTCTGGCGTCCCAAGCCAGCTCTTAACCAATGCGCCACTCAGCCGGCCCAAGCATGAGCTTTAATGCTAGCTAATAAAACCTTTAATATGCTCTCTTGGCATAATGTTAAATTTTATATTTTAGGGTACCAAAAGAGCTTTGAAAACTAAATATCTATTATATAATATTGGAAAACATTTTATTATTTAGCCCTTAATTGCTGGTACCCTATAACTGGAGATGTGGTTTAATTCTCATAAAGATTTTTTCTTCAGGAAAAGCATATTATTTTAAATCTTAGTATGCATTAGCATTCATCCTTCTGTTTTGAGTTCAATACCTTATAGCCATTGCCTAGCCAGAGATATAAGAGAGGTATCCAGATGTGGTAAATATTTAAGGTATTTATTAGAGGATAAGTGGAAAGAAAAAAATTTTGAAACCAATTATGAGTAGTTTAGATTTGATGTACATGTTAGTGGAGAAACTGAAAAAGATCTGGCTAGATTTTTATGTTAAGAGTTGATGTGGGAGGTTTGGCTATATAGTTTTTAATCCATTGTGAAGACAAATAGAGAAGGAAAGATAAGAATTGGCTGAGTTATTTTATAGAAGTGGATAAAGCAGAATGATCAAAATTTAGATAGGTTATATATGAAGACAGTAGAATTAGCTATTCAAATGTGGGAAAGGATATATATTTTTTAAGATTCTAAGAGAATTCCTTGAAATGTGTAGTCTGATGTGCTATTAAAATAAAATGGGGTATATCTAGAGTATTTTTTGCTCTCTGCCTCCTCAGACTTTAGCTTTAGGTTAAAAGAAACACTCCAGCTAATAAGATGTTGAATCACAAGGTATGCACATTTGTGTTTCATTTTAATTCATCTTAAACACAGAAAAATTTGGGGGATCGTTATTAGCAGCTTTATTTATTTTTTTTAAGTGTTGTCACTATAAATGGAAGCCCTGTTTGTTTTTTTAATCATTCAGGATTTGAGAAATATAAATATTTGCACATATCTTTGAAGGATCCTCACCTTTAACCTTTCAATGAGAAATCAGGATTTGGTAATCAAAGATGACAAGTCTTCATTGACTGCTAATTTAGTTAAACAATATTTATGTCTGTGAAACATTCAACAGACACTAAAACATCCATTTTTTAAAATGAAATTCTTCATAAAAGGTTTAAGGATAAGGAGCTATATAAATAGAATATATGTATTTTTAAAATAATTAGATTCTAAACTTCCATTTGCAAATTGTAAAAAAAAATTGGCAGTGTATATGTGGTTTACTTAACAGAAAGTTGGCGACTACAGAACTCAGCAGTGATTCTCAAAGTTGAGCATGCATCAGAATCACCTGAAGGGCTTCTTAAAACAGTGCTGAGTGAGCTCCCCTCTTCACCCTCCACTGAGCTTCTGAATTATCGGATGTGGAGCCGGGAAATGTGCATTTCTAACTAGTTCCCAGGTGATGATGCTGCTTCCTGGTCCAGAGACCACACCGGAGAACCAGTGACTTAGACAGTTCTATCCAAATCGCCACACACAGTAGTGTATGATAAATGTAAAATTCTATATATGAATGGGTGCTTGAATAAATGTTTCTGGTGATCATGAATACATAAAATTATCATTTGAAATTTCTTTTAATATCTTGGTTCATTCAATATGTGTTTTTTTATTTTAAGGATGAAACACTAGTACACTGTAGTCTAAATGAGCTAGAAGATGCAGCACTTACTTTTCCAGTCCTTTTCCAAGATGTCATATATCAGGTAATTTTTAAAAATTTTTTTAACTTCATTTTTGGCCTGTTAACATTCTGAACTAAGAAATTTTTTGTAATTTTTTTTTTAAAGTTTAATGTGTTTTGTAAATGGATTTCATCAATATTTTAATGATTTATTAACACCAAGTAGCATCATGCTAAATAATTACATAAAACATTAATTTGTTACCAAAAAGATGTGAACTTTTTTTTTTTACCCAGTGATCTCTGCTAGTTTTATAATCTGTTTGCCAGCAGGTGGAGGCAGGAGCACTGACATCATAAATCCCTGAGAAAAACTTGCCAGGTTAACACCTGGTGTGTTTTTTTTTTTCTCCGAAATCCAATTAATATAAAGAAAACTCATTCCCTGTTGGTCATGTTTATTTCCTTTTGTAGTAATATGGTGTGTAGCTTGTAGTTTGGTTGATTTACTTTATAGTAATCACAGAATTCCAGGATATTCTTCTAGTTATTGCTTTGCTTAAAAATTTGGGGTATAAGCATTTCTCCCTTATCTGTGTTGATAGACAGGTAACAGTGCAAAATACAGAAATTTACATTTCACTGTGAATTACATTTTATGTGTGTTGGCCATAGTTTTTACTTTATGTGTGAGATTTTCTTATAAAATTTGTATTAATACATGTGAATACACTTTGAAAGTCGGAAGGAAAGTGCCTTTCTGTGGTGGTGGTTGTTATTTAATTAGTATTACCTTCATACACACCAGTTGTTGAAGAATTGGGAAAGGGTCAAAAGTTTGTCAAGAGGAAGCCAACCCAAGGATTAACTAAATAAAGCCACGGACTATTTACCATCAGGGTGATGCAAAGGTGTTCATGGTTGTTTACGTGCTCTTAGTAGGCAGTTAGTAATTGGGTATAGTTTTCTTGGCACATGATAATTATTTCTTAGGAATCAAAAAAATCTCAAAATTAAGTTTGTGGTTCAGAGTCTACTTTACCTACTTGCAGTGAGTTACAAGAGGATTTATTTTAGCAGATATTGTCAGTTCTAGTTTAATCTAGATAAGTGTTGTAGATGTGATGTATGAATATTCATTTCCCTTTTATGTAAACTCATTTTAATTCTGATATATGATCAAAATATACATTAAAAATAAGGGGCTTAAAGTTTTTTGTATTCCTTTTTAACAATATTATTTGGTTTAAGGTAAATCTTTTTCTTAATGAGACATTTTCTGTCAAATAGGTAGTTCTCGTTTAGTGCACTTCAAATAAACATAGTATAGCAAGCGATATCTTAGTTCTGTCTGTCTTTTTAGCTTGATAACCTTGTTGTTTTCAAAATTGCACTTAAAAGCAATGGCTTTCAGCCTTTGAATTTGGAAGGGGAAGCTGTTATTTGAAAAATAATTATTTTGAGATGACTTCTTAACCTTTCAGATTTGAAATTTATTTCTTGCAGATGGTTTTGGTCTGGTTATGTAGTTTTTAATAGTGAAATAAGAAACTTAGAAAGTAGAAGAATTTGATTCTTCACCTTCATGAGCATTTCTTTTCAGTGTGACCATTGAATTTTTTCTTACTGCTTCTACCATTTCTGCTTCAGTTCTCTTCTGTATAAAGTTCTTATTATTTTCATGTGCATCTGAATAGTTGTCTTATTTTGAGTAAAAGGCTTCTAGCAGTGCATATGACTAATACTATAAAATCATTTATGTACTACATCTACCTCTGTGAAATTCAAAGAACTCTTTTTCTTACATATTCTAAGGTATCCTTTCTGAAACTGAAAAATAAATGATCTAGCCTAAATCAGGAGCAGTGAAAAGGAAGTTTGATTCTTACGAGTTATGGAGTTGATTGATTGCATTTTAATGTTATGATTTAGTTAACTACATCATGTACAGTTTAGTTCCTCTTCAGTAAATTTTTGAGGATGTCCATAGTTAATATTGGGTACATTCCCTTGGATTTCTGGTTCTGGCATGGCTATTTTGTCTGCTTTTTTAATATAACTGAAGAAATCTTGGGTTAGGGTTCCCCCAGTTTTCAGACCAGCAAGCTCCCTTTAAACAGGGAATGATGTCTTTTAAACTTTCAGTGGTGTTGTCTCCATCTACTGGCAAAGAAGAAATATACACAAGGGTCTGAGATGATCTAAGAGATTTTGGAGAAACCACATTATTAGGTAAGATGTAACTTACATATTTAACCACTACAACATAATGTGGCCCACTTAAAGATGGAAACCTGTAAAATACTGTATATACTCTTCTGAAAAATCATTTATTGAGGTGAAATTCACAACATAAAATTAAGTATATTTAAGTGAACAGTTCATGGCATTTATCTATATACAGTAAGTACTCTTGAATATCAGTTCCATAGCATTTATGTATATACTCTTAAAAATAAAAAGGATATTTTTAAGATATGATCAAAATTCTTCATCTGAATCAAAGCCAGATAGTGTCCTCTTGGGACTTATTTTACTTTTGCTTTCTTTTTGTGATAAGTTCATTATGGTTGACCTATATCTAGTTTTAATTCTGCTTGTTATTTTTCTTTCAAAGCTATGTAAAGTGTAAATTGCCTTACATATATTTTAATACTTATCTATATCAAGTTAGCAAACTTTTTCCTATAAAAGGTCATCTGTTAGTATTTTATGTTTTGCAGTTTCTGTTAGAACTGCTTTTTCTGCCATTGTAGCATGAAAGTAGCCATAGACAGTACATGATTGAATAAGTGTTGCTGTGTACCAATAAAACTTTATTTACAAAAATAAGTGACAGTTTGGATTTGGTCCACAGGCTGTCGTTTGCTGGCCCTTGGTCTAATAATCATGAGAGTATATACAGTAAATTTACATATTCAAATTCTTTCTAAGTAGAAGTAAGTAATCAAATGTTCATCAAAATTCTTGTTAATATATAGAAAAATTTTAAATTAGATCCACTCTAATTTGGTTGTGTGCTTTCTTAGTTTTTTTATATGAGAGCTTGAGGGAAATTTAAGATGTCCATTATTCACATTTAAAGATTGCCTGACTTTATGATTTATATTCTTTTGATTAATAAGTAGGACTCAGCTAAGTTAATGCAAGTCTTAGAATTTATTCAAGCCTCAATTTAGTACCTTGAGTGTATTTGAATTCCATTTCTAGGGAATTAAAAAAATACCTATAAAATCCAACTCAAAATTTGATGTATGTTATTACTGACACCATGTGGATAGACAGATTGTAGTTTGTGTATCTAGAGAAAAAGTAATTGGAAAGAAGAACTGAGTTTTTAAAGTGAGGGTATGGCACTCACAAAGGTAAAGTGTTTTGATTTTTGTTTGACTAGGTCTTCCCTCCCCCTTAAATTGGTATTTTTTTCCATAAATTGTTTTACAGTTAGTTATTGGAAAATGTCTTTATTCATAGAATGTTATAAATGCATTTGATATCTGAAAAAACAAGTGCATGATCAATTCTCATGCACGTGTTTAATCTTTGTATTTAGCGTGTATTGACGCATTGTCAGGAAATCCATCTCGTGGTGTTACTCGGTTAAGAGGTCTCCACTGTATTTAGTTTCTGTTCCTGCAGATCCACCAATTCAAGACTCTAGGTCATCTCACTCCCTCTTCCACCCAGAAGATGACTTCTATCCACAAGCAGGACTGAATCAAAAGACAGATTTTTCACTTAGCTCTTGAGCTGAACAACCTCCTCAATGACCTTCCTCTGTCTCCATCAAGAACTGGAGCTCAGTTTTTTGAAGATGTAATAGAGCTACTCAGCCCAAACGTGGCTAATTGAAGACAAAAAGAAGATGCCTCATATGTTTCACCACAGTGCAGCCAAACGTAACTGTGTTGTCCAACTCCTCATTCTGTAAAGTATGACAGGGGCATCTATTTTTTACTCTGTTCACCTGTAAGACTTTAGCCAGTCAGTGGCTTTCTGAAGATCAGTAGAATCAACAAGCTTTGGGTCAGCTGTCCAGAAATCAGATTGTGGTAAGCACTCAAGGAGAGATAGGATCCTGTAGGAGCTACTTGCTAAAGGATGCTTCGCTTTACTAGTAGAGATTGCTTTTATGGGAAAAGTTGGGGGGAAACTGGGTGGGAAACATGTTTAGCAAAGCTCAGCCTCTTCCCAGTTATTACAGTTTGATCATTTTCTTGGAAACCTTATAGCCTAGGATAATTTTCATAAGGATCTCAAATATTTTATACCACAGAACAAGAGAAGTAGAGGGTCAGTGCCTTCTTATCCCCTCTACAGTCTTTCCTAGAAAAGTCAGCATTTTTGCTTCATGAAGAAAAAAGGAGTCATTTAAATGGAGAGTTTTACAGTAAATTCCTAAACAAGTTTTTCTTTCTCTCAGGCTCTGACTTAAATTGACAATTAACCAAGAGGCATTTTGTTTTGACTTTCATAAAGCATAATTTTGTACAAAAGTAGTATGTAAATTTGTGTGTCTTAAATAAAACATTTGAGGTTGTGGAGACTTATAGTATTGAGGAGTGATATTTTAGTTGGTCAGGAACAATATTTTGACAATTATGGGTAAATATTAAAAGTAATTTTAAAGTAACTTTCCTATCCTTATTAGTAAGTATAGTCATTGGCATTCATTTTTTTCATCATTATTAATATTTAGGTTACAAAAGGAATGATATAGCTGAAATCTATAATTGTCTACTTCTCAAAGACTAGAAAACTTATTTCATGGGGAATTCTTTGCATTCTTTGTAAATGTATCTTAAAATTAGAAGCAGTTTATTGAAAATTACATGGAAAGTTCTTGTTCAATGCCTGAAAATGTTCTGCAAATTTAGGAAAGGTAACAAATGGTTACTAAGTGGAGGCTTCAGAGTATTTTTGTTTTTTAAAGATTTTATTGGGGAATTGGGGGAGGGGAACAGACAAGTTGCTGTCCTTTTGTTCTTCAGTCTAGTTGTGGAGAACGTCGCTTCACTGGCCCAAGTTGGTATTATTGCGATCTTCCCGGGTGAGGCAGATTGGTTGCCGGCCACTGGACAG